CAGCAGGATTTCAAACACATCCCAGAGCATCCGTTCGGTGGTTCCTTGCCAAGGGTGGGACCCTCTCCCTCCTCCGGCTCCTCCAAATCCACCAAAACGCAAAGACGCCAAAACGAGCGGGACTGAGCTTCGCAGCGCAGCAGCTGCCGGCAAAGCATGGAGCGCTCCAAGCCTCTTGAATATTCCCAAGTCTTTGTGCAACTGCAAAAGCTGGAAGGACACTAGTGGTCAGACTAAAGTAAGGATCCTTTGGTCACAGCTCCGTGTCATTGTCACGAGGAGTTTCTGCTTTTGTAAGGTAAAATTGAAATAAGTATATACCGTCGGGACACTCACTACCATGTTGTGTAGGGTTAACAGCAACTTGTGGTTGATCTCCTCTGCCGAGGGGGAAACTTCAGGTGAAATTCAGAGGGATTTCTGAATCCTTCGGAATCCCACTGGGGCGCTTTTGCGGGTGGCTGCAGACAGAGTATTTCATCTGGAAGCACCAGTCGCTGCTGATCCCGTCAACGCTGATATAGGCACATTGTCCCTTGCCCCGGACATCGAACCTGCACCAAACAGCAGAAGGAAAACTCAAAGGGAAGCAAACGGGCTGCTGTCAGCTGCAGGTCAGCGGCTGAGCATCTCCCATATGGGTTAACGGTGCTGCAAGGAGCAGGGACCACCCTTCCCAGCAAAAGGCCCACCCCACGCAGAACCAAAACTGCCTCCCGCTCCCTAAAGGAGGGAATATTTTCAGTTGCTTGGTCCCAGGGGGGTTCATCCAGGGCTGCCCTCAACCCCCTGCCAGCATCTGCATCGCACAAATCCATGGACTGCTGCCCAAGTGCTTTGGCTCAAGCAAGAAAAGTGGTGTTTAATTGCTCCCACCTCATTAAATTTATATATATATATGTGTGTGTGTGTGTGTCTTCTTGCATTCAATCCCTGACCCATCTCAGCCCAGGACATGGTTACGTTCTCCAGAAGAAGACGGGACGTACGGGTTGTTGAAGAGAGACCCGTTGAACCATTTCCAAGGTCCAGAGCCTTCCCTTCGGAGACCGACCCAGTAGCGCAAAGAACTCCCATAGCGCAAGAGGAAACGCTAAAGGGAGAAATAGCAAGCGTCATACGTATCTGCACGGTACGCCCACATCTGCTTCCCAAAAGCCATCAACGCATCAGCTCCTCAGCGGTTTCTCATTTACCAGCTCCTCCTGGGTGTCGATGGTGGCCAAATGGGCTCCGAGAGAAAGGCAAGAGATCTGACTCCTGTTCCAGTCCGCTTCATCCTCCACAAAGTAAAAGCATTTCTCCCTGTACCCGATCCCGTTTTCCAGGCAGCTGGGAAGGATGGGAGCGGGGCAGGATGGACAGGACGGGCATTTCTTAGCTGGAAATAAGCAGAACGCGTCCTGGTGACTTACGCCGCTGGGTTTTCTCCAGGGGAGGAGAGGACTTTGGTGGTGGGCACCTCCACCCTCAGCCACTTACCTGCCAGCGCGATGATGGCGAGAAGCAACGCTGCTACGACCACGGTGACCCCGATGGGGACCTTTTTATCTTTAATGCACTTGAGGTTAAAACCTGGGGACAAACCACGTGGAAGAGGCACAGCCAGCAAACCCATGGCGGGAAGAGCACCCCGCAGCTCTTGCGTTCCCCCCATGGGTGCCTTCGACACCTTTCAATGCAGCCACAAAGCATGGGGGGCCCACAGTGGGGTGCAGGCTCGGTTCAGGGGGTGCCTCTCAGTGCTTTCATCAGCCTCCAAGGATTTTTAGGGCTGCCTGACCTCAGTGCTTCCTCTCCACCCCCCTCAACCACAAGAGATGGGCGCCATCCCCCAGACCCTCAGCTTGGGCTGCCCTGTGCCTCCTGCAGCTGGCAAACAGCTTTACCTTTCTTGCATCCTCCTCACCCCAGCTATATTTTAACTAAATTTGAGCTGCCCATGTCACGCTACGCCCAGCCCTGAGCTCCGAAACAACATCCTCAAGACAAGACCAGTGCTTACTGGTCCCTTGCTCCACTCTGCTGCAACAGCATCGTTACAGCAGCGGAGTGTTTGCTTGTGCAAAAGCAAGATGTGCATGCACAGCAAGTGTTATTAGTAATGCTGTAAAGTTATTCAAGTAGGAAATTACTAACCTTGGGTGTTTTCCTCCCAGGACAATCAAGGGAAAAACGCAGCATTTCCCCTCACCCAGGTTACACACATAGCAGGAATAGAAACAGGAATTCTGCTTTCAACAAACCAGGACTCGCTTTGTTTTTCCAAGCTCTTGAAGCCTCTGGGAAAGGGGACGGTGCTTATGTACCTGCATCGTGAACAGCTTCTGCCATCCCTGGCGCCAGCAGCACCCTCCGGGGACAAGGGCGTCCTTCCACTCCTCCAGCAACAAGGTGAGCAGGGTCAAGACCACCTCGAGACCACAGCACGGCACCAGGGACCAGCCAGGTCCTTCTCCGTCCCAGGGCTGTGCCAGGATGCTCCTGCGGTCACTAAAATAAAGACAAAAAGCGCATAATCCCCCCCAAAACCTCAGTCCTGCTCGTCACAGCACTTTTCTCTAAAAATCTCTTCTTTTCCTCAAAGCTCCTTTTCTCCATTTTCCCATCTCCCAGCCTGCCTTCACTCTGAATTATTGCTTCTCAAAACCTCCCACGACAGCATATTTTTCTGTGTTGTTCTTGCAAACCATTTTCAGCTCCCACTGCGCAACCGACTTCTACTGCGTGCTTTTCTCTGTGGTAGAGAAAAAATTGCAGATTTCTGCACTCCGTGCCCACAGCCTTCATCCAGATGAGGGATTCAAACACACTCAGGGATGCTCTCTACTCCCGAACCCCAAATTTATCCCCTACCTGTAGTACTGGAGCAAGAATCCAGCAAATTGGGAACAACCAGAGGCATCCGGTACCCAATACCAAGCGGCCAAAACTCACGCCTTCCCCCAACGCGTTCTGCAGTAACCCCCTCTCTGTCTGACCAGCGCTGACACCTTAGGAACCTCTTCAGCACTGTCCCTGTGGGTTTTTCCCGTTAATCTCACACCTTCCTCCATCCCCCAGAGGCAGACGGGGAGACGGGGGAGCAGCTGCACCCCAAACCCCGGCCACGCTCTGCCGGGACTTGCAGAATCAGAGCTACAACCCACTGGGGCTTACAAGACACCCCCAGGCTGGATGCTTTTGGGGTACAGCAGGAGCAAGTCACGCCATTGCTTAGATGCGATCAGCATCAAGAGCTATTTCTCTGCTCCGTCTTCCCGGCTAGCGTGATCGTTAGGGACCCGGGAAAGCTCACTCAGCTTTTTCGCGATGTAAGGCACCACACCGGGGGTGAGGCCAGAAAAAGGCATGAGCTTGAGCAGCAGCAACAAATGATTTCAGCCAGTCACCGTACAGTTTCCCCCGTCGAGAATTCCCCTGTCCCCTTGTCCCACAGCAATCTCTGGAATTGAGAATTAGGCTCAAGTCTAAACTTGCTTCACCCAGGTCCAGCCCAAACCTCCCACCACGCAACGCTTCCCTACCCCCTTCCCTTGAGGCTTTTACCCCTGGCTCGTGCCCCGTACCTCACCGCTTGGTCCCGGGGAAAGGCGGTGGGTGCAAATGCCTGGAAGCCCACCGATTTCAGCTCTCCCAGCTCTGTTACTGACCGGCTCAAGGCTTTGCAGCCCACGCTGGGACATGGCATTGCCCAGCGGCGGGTGGAGGCAGGTTGGCATCCTCGGATTGTCCTGCCCAGGGTGTCCTCGGCGTGGTGATGGGCTGAGAGTCTCTCGAGAGCTCCCATCCTGTCTCTTGTGCTACAGAGGAACACAGAGGGGACGTAAAGCTGTCTATGCATTCTCCAGCCAAAAAAAAATAACGAAATAAAAAATTTTAAAAACTGAAGTTCTCGGCAAGGGCAGATCAGGTGAGCCCTTGGGGTTGTCTCAGCGCAGTCATGTGCGAAAATAAAAACCAGAGGAAGCACTCCACGCACCACCAAAACAAACCAGCTCAAAGCCAATTTAATTCTTGCAGGATTTACCACTCCTGACCTTCCTCTACTCCCTCCAGCACCCATAAGGGCAGCGGGGAGGTGGGAGCTGCTCCAGCCTTCGTACCTCCGTGTCCTCCAACCCAGGTGGCAAAAGGGGGGATGGAGGCAGAGACATTTCCCTCCCCTTGGAGCTTTTCCCCCTCCTTTCCTCTCTCCCAGCTTTTTTGCACCGTCCTTAAGTGACTCCCACCCACTCACACTCCTTTTTGGATCAAACCAGCTGCTTCAGTAAATTCCACCAAGAAAAAAAACCCAACAGGGGAGCGTGGGCAGCAGGGATGGCATCAGCTCAAAAACGTCCCCCCCGAGGGCATCAGCTGATGCTGCCCATCAGCATCTTCACCCACACAGAGAAGTGACACAGACGTTTTTTAAGTGACAGATCCCATCTGCCTTCCCCACAAAGAAACGTTTGCCAGCTCCCCGGCCAGGGCTTCTTCCCCAGTTGAAAGCTTCAGTTCCTTTTCCAGAACAAGTGTTTAAAAAAACCCCCCAAACATAGGGCCAAAGCTATCGCCATCAATCACAGCTGGTGCCAGGTGACTCAGACAAAACAATTTCTGGGCTCAACAGCAGGGGGGTGATGCCGGATTTCCCCCCCTCGACATCATAATTGCAGAGAACCTGGCAGGAAAGAGCAAGCAGAGCTGGGGAACAACAGAGGCGATGGTTTGTACCTGATGAAGACGGCGGTTTCTCTCCCCTTCGGCAGCGCTTGTGTGGTTTCAGGGCAGCGAGTTGGTGAGAGCAGGGGCTCCAGGCAGGAGGAGCAGCCTGGGGAGATGCGTGCGTCTGCACAGGGGCGTGTTTGCATGTGCAAGGCTGCGTACGGGGCTCTCGGGGCCCCCCTAATCCTGATCCCCCCACAAGGTGCTGCTGCAGGAGCCCCAGAAGCAGCGGTGGGTGGTAGGGACAAACCCAACCTGGATGGTGGGTGAAGAAACCTCGCTGCATCCCCCGCGAGGGCAGCGATGGTGCGGCTCTGTGGAAGGGCAGGCGTCAGGGCTGCTGCCAACGGCCCCTTCCCAGTGCTCCCAGTCCATCCATCCACAAGCATCCCAGTTCAGGTGGCTGTTTTCACGCAGCAGGGACAGGAGGCAATGCAATACAATGCAGTCCCACCGAGCTTTTCAGCTTGCTCTGAGCTGGGGAAGCCCTGGTTTTGGAGGTTTATGTTATAAGGAGAGGCTCTTATCTCTTCCCCATCACCCCAGATGTGGCAGGCCTGTCCCCCCAGATGTGGCAGCTGTGGCTGAGACTTCCAGCCGTCCCCGTATCCCGTGTCCGCCGTCCCCCTCCCTTGCTCAGCAACACAGGTTTCGGGTGTTTGCCCTCCTTGGGCTCTGGGCCAGGCACTGCTTCGTGGCGAGCTCACTTACTGGGGTTTTAGTTTTGGATTTAATTCCCCCACCTCCTTTTTCCTTTTGAACCCTAACGCTCTCACCGCTGCGCTTCCTCTCTTGCCTTTGCAGTGCTGCTGCGAGCACTGTGCCATGAGCATCCGTCTCCTCCGCTGCCCATCACTCCCTGCCCCGCATGAGCCACCTCCTGGGTCAGCTGTGCTGCGCCTGGGGTGAAAGCACGACCTGAGGATGGGGATGGTCCAGGAGGAAGATTGAGGGGGACGCTGGCATGGGCAGAAATCCCAAAGGCATCTCCCCTGGGGGCTGGATGGGGGCCCTGGTGCACCCTGGAGCCACGGAAGGGTGAGGCAGGTGCAGGGGCAAGCGCTGCCAGGCAGAAAGGGACAGGCCCAGCGTGCGCGAGGGCGTGCGCGCACAAGCAGGCTGATCTGGTACAGAAGGAGGCTCTTTCCAGCCCTCCCCATTAGCAAACTTGCTTGAGAACACCACACAACGGAGCCCAGCTAATGTCATTCTTAATTTGAGCAGGAGATGGTCGTTTCACAACAACGTCAGCACCGGCTCCCGCATCCCCCCGCTGAGGGCCTGATCCTGGCCCGTCCCCGAGCGTCTCTGCTAGCCACAGCCCAGCTTGCAGCCCCTGGCTCAGAGCTGGGTGGCTTCTTTCTGGCAGATCCACTGCAATCCTGAGCTGCAGCTGTCAGAGCTGATCCTGTCCTCCCTGACCGCCCCGCAGGCTCTGCTTCTACCCCAGGGGCTCAGCTGGAACCTGCGGGTGCCGGAGGGAGCCCACGCCACGGCACGAGGCTCCCTCGGGTGACGGCGGGGGTGCCCACCCCGACACCCATCCCTCCCCAACGGGAGCCGTTCAGCCAGGTCCAGCCTTTCTCAGGAGAGGTGTTGGAGAGGCCGATCCGGAAGTAGCTGCTGGGTTTCTGTACCATTTCCTTTACAAAACCCTATATCGGGGAGAGGGCAGGTGGTGACGCCGATGTGCCACGGATCGCCATCCCAAAACAGGCTCCAGCCCATTCCCGCGCAGCCCCATCCCAGGACCGAGCCCCACCGGTGTCCCCCACGCTCTGACGCTGGCAAAGGCGCCCAGAGGCTCGGGCACAGGGGTGGGTGCTGACCCCAGATTTCTGGGCAAGCCCTTAACCCTTCCCCAGGTGCCAGCAGCCCCTCGGGTGCAGCCCTGGGACCCCTCCCACATCCCCAGTGCCATCGGTCCCTTTACCAGCTCAGCCTGGTCCCCCAGCATCAGCAGCTCGGCACTCCGATTCACACAGTCCTCCCGGCTCTCGCTCCAAGGCTTGACCCCGTTGGCAACCCAATAGCACTTGGTCCTGTGCAGTGTCCAGCCCACGGGGCAGAGCTTGCACCCCTCACCCTCTGAAAGACAGTCAGTGCCACGTTCAGCCACCAAGAAGCCACTTGTCCCCTGCGCACCCGAAGAAGAAGTGTTTTAAGTCCTGTTTGCTCCCCAGGAACACGGGGATGCCCTGAGCTTCGCTTGGTTCTCCAACCTAGAGATGCTACCAGTTTTTGGGAAAGCTGATGGTGCGGAGACGCGTCGTGGCCGGCGCAGTTACCTTGCAGCTTTGACGAGCAGAGACGTTTCCTCAGTTCCGAGGTGATGCTCTCCAGGTTGGTGCTGCCATCTCCTACGTTCCCGTTCCCACTCCCATTTTTGCAGGTGCCTGGGTTCTCCGGCTGCTGGTGGAGAACTGCAAGGGAAGGATGGAGCAGGGGAAAGGAACTGGCTCCCCCAGGCACAATGCCCGCTGAGATCTACCCGCACGTGGCCCCAGCAAGCTGCAGGGAAGTGCCTGGGATGGATCCTGACACCATGCGGGTGCTCAGAGCCCTCCAGCCCTCCCCTCATCCTTCCCGTTATCTCAGCTCACCTTGAGCCTTGATCTGAGCATCTCACGGGGGGTGAGAATTGGCCTCAGGGTCCCAACCCAGAGCAGACCCCAGACCGTCTTCTTTTGGGGTACAGGGTCACCGCCTCTGAGCTCACCCCGCGGCTTGGAACTGCCTCCACCCACTGCTGCTTTGCACTGGCAACAGGATGCGGCCCCTCCACCCCCCGCATACGAGGTACGGAGGCATCAAACGGGACGGCTGCAGAAAGCCCCGTAGCGTCTGGCCGCTACGGAAGTGGCCTCTTCTGCAAAACAAGCCGTGCTAGCCTTTGTGCAGCCCAGAGCGGCCCGACGCAAGGGTGAAGGGCTCTTCATCACCTTCTGACTACCCCTTGCAGCACAGCGTGCCCACAGACACCTGCAGCGCACATGAACAGCTCGCAGCAGCTTTATTTTGCGGTCTCTCCGGTGCTGGGCTCACACCAAGTTCAAACAATCATCCCCAGATCGCTGCTGGCCCCAGATCCACCCTACAGTGGGGACAGCAGATCCCTACAAAGCCCCTGCACCCCAGCTCGCAGCTTGCACCCAAAGCTGCTCCCACATCCTGAGAGCATCACCTGCGTTTTGCAGCTCTTGGCCCCGGGGAGGGCATGGTGCTCAGGGAAGCTCGAGCCTGATCCCTTCGCTCCTTCCTCCATAGCCCTGTGCCAAAAGCTTGGCAGATCCATCCCCACAGCCCAAATCCACAGCCGAGTCCCTCCCCAGCACAAGATCCCTTGGATCTCCCTCCCTTTGGAGGATCTCCTCCCCAAGATCCGTCAGACATTTGAGTCTCCCCTCCACCTGCTTGGCGTGGTTTGGGGGTGCTGTGGGTCAGGGCAGCATCAGATGCCACCAGCAACATCACACTGGGCACAAGACTAATTTTGGCAGGGCTCCGTGTGACTCTGAGCTTGGCCACGGGGTGTCAAATTCTGACCCTGCCAAAGCTGAGAAGTTTCCAGTGGTTTCCCCTCGCCAGTCAACCGACACAGTCAACATCTCCTCCACTCATCAGCTCTAAGAAATTCTGATAAAAACCTGCTTCCTCGCACCTGGCACTGATGTGCGTTAGCCAACGCAGATCAAAAAACCCAGATTTGCCTCCTACACAAGCACCTGGGCCAGCACCCCAGGAGCAGGGACCCCCTCCCCGCTCTTTGGATGGTCCCCCCTTCGGATTGTCCTTTGGTTGTCCCCGTGCTGGCAAGCGGAGCTACTCACACGAGCATCCCATTGCCACCACTCCCACGCCGAGGAGGAGGTTCCCGGTCCAGCCGGCCCAGAGCGCGGTTCGGTGCCACCGAGGACAGCCCGATGCTGCAAGGGAAAGACTTGTTAGGAGAAAAACATTGCCCCAATCCCGCGCCCAGCGAGCCAGATCTGCAGCGCAGATTTGGGCTATTTTCTCCCCAAAAGCAGCTCAGAGCCTGGCAGCCCTCCACGGTTCTGCTGCTGGTTGTTCAAAAGCTTTGGTCGATCGTCCGCATTTCACCACTGCTGCCCTCCTCCATTTCACACTGATCCTGCTGGCACTGCGGTAAAATTGCTCGTGATGAGGTTGGGTTGGTTTTACCCAGGTGTCCAAGACTCCAAGAATCGGGAATTTCCTGGATGCTGTAAGCCATTAGAAACCCAAAGGCTTAAGTCAAAGTTAGAGGTGGGCCCAGATGGGAGATGTGCCCCACCACGGCATCCTTCCTCCGCACCAGGGCAAAACTAACTGCTGAACCTGGACGGACCAAGGTCTCCAAGGAGACTTCATCTGACCAAGGAGGATGACCTCCATCCTCCCCAAGGAAGCAGACACCCTCCCTGCAGAGCTCAAGGCCAGGCAAAGCCCATCCATCCTCAGCTTTTGTTTCTCAAGAGGGAGGCAGGACGATGCTTCTGGACAAAGCCAGAGCTCCCCTGGACCAGCAAAGGTGGATTGGTGATTGAGGTTCATCATCAGCCTCAGAATAAAAGAGCAAAGGAGGAACATCTGATTCCACCTTAACATCAGCAGCAGGTGGGTTTTGCCCAGCCCTTTGAGATCAAAAGGGATGTGGTTGGCAGAAATCATGAATTCTTGCAGAAAACAGGGTGCAGCGTGTTGACTGAAGAGGTCCTCCCTAGGCAGAGGTCCCTTCCAGAGGAAGAAAGAGCAGGAACTAAACCTTTTGCTGTTCTTTCCGTAAGCTAGAAACCACAACTGGAGTCAGCAGACAAAGAGCATGAATCGCCACAGCAAAGCAGCAGAGGAAGGAAAAAAGGCAGGGATGTGAAACACCACTACAAGTGCAGGAAAGACGGACCAGGAGGATCCAGACTTGGATCAGGCCATCTAAAGATGCCAGCTGCCCTTAAGCATCACAGGTCTCCTAAGAGCAGCTGAATTCGGGCAGGTTTGGAGCCTTTGCTGGCTGGGTGCAGGGGGATTTCTTCTTCCATCATGCCAGAACAAGAATGGGCCCTTGGGATGGGTTTTAGGAACGAGTCCCTGAAAATGCACTTGCTGCGGTGGCCGAGCCCTGCCTGACAAGCTTCAGGAGCTCAGTTGTCGGAGTTCAGCCTCACCACGCGAGGACGACGTTCAAACGGCCACGCTGGGGGCAGCTAGGGCTTAAAAATAACGGTGCAAAACGGAGCCTTGACCTTGGCAGGGCTGCAGCCAAAGCAGCCGCACAAGGAAGGATGAGGGGGGTGTAAAGGGGGCAACGCCATCCCCAAGGGCGGCTGCAGGCAGAAAAGAAGCCATGGTATTTAACCCCACGGCAGCAAGCGTGAACGCAAGCCCACTTGGTTTCCACGGTGGAGGAATCCCATTTAATTGAGCCACGGCAGGACTCCGGGCACGGAGTGAAACGGTGAACCCCGTTTCAAAGAAACCCTACAGCCGTTTCAAGACAAAACTACCAAAGGGATCCCAAGCAGCAGCTGGGATCCCCCCTTATCACACCACCCCAGCCACGGGCCCCTTCCCCTGCCTGCACCACCCGGAGCCTGGGAGTCTCCCAACACAGCCACAGCCCCCCCCAAAAATAAAAGGCCCCCAGACCCATGATGCACTTACTGCCAGGCTGAGGAAGCGACTGCAGTCTCCTGCAGCGTTTCCCGGGACCAATATCCAGGTCAGCATAAATAATTTCCCCAGCCATAGTGGGAGAGGTGAAAGGACCACCAGCCGCGCCTCTCACTTGAACGGCGGCAATCCAGCAGTCGGCAAGTCTGGTTTTTCTGAGGTTTTTCACTCCCCCAGCTCAGCTTTGCAAGCTCCTCGCCAAGCTAGAGGTCAGCGAGGAGAAGCGTGAGCCTCTGAACGCTCGTCAAGCGGAGCAAGATTGCAAAAGAGCACATTCGATGCACTGGCCAGCCTGAAAATGAAACTTTACGTAGCTTCCGCTGAATTAAGCCAGGGAAAATGAGTTCGCATCACGGGAAGTAACATCTGATAGCAGCAAGAAGCCTTTTCTATTCAAAGGCGAGCCATATTCTTCCAAGGTACCAAACGAAATCTCCCGAAACAAGACACCCTTAATAATAAAAAAAAGCCCAAACAAACCCAAGATTTGTGGTTCTGCAAATAGGCAGTTCCGGACTTCGCTCCCCTCTGTCCAAATTGGTTGTTTTGCCTGAAAAAATAAGGTGTCATTGCACGAATGATGCAGAGACTCCGCCATCTCCCAGAATATTCCCAGTAGGATCATAAGAATTGCGATTTTTATGAAATAAAATAAAACCAGATCCCTTCCACCCTTATCTCCTCCTCCCTTTAGCTACTTGAAAGGTGTTTTCTAACCTTAGTCACTGCTTCTCCCCACCCAAACCCATTCCGGCATCGCCACCTTCTCCCTGTTACCGATTTCTCTGTAATCCCACTGGTTTTTCAGCCCGGGTTTGAAGCACGCCGCCATTTCGCTGCTCTGCAGAGCAAGCAGCTGCCAAAAAGCCTGGGAGACTCTTTGGAAGCAAGGGGTTAGAAATGAGCCCTTCAAGGGGAAAGGAGGGAAAATGTTCCAAACAGCTCAAGAAATCTCTTTGGTTTTCCTTCGTTCCTCGTTTCCAAGTCACTTCCAAGAGACTGTCAGCATCTCCCTTTGGAAACCGGGATAGGACTAATTAATCTATCCACCCAAGGGCACTGAATCCACCCAAGGGCACTGAAGGAGCTGGCGGAGGTGCTCACCAAGCCACTTTCCATCATCTGTCAGCAGTCCTGGCTCACCGGGGAGGGCCCAGTTGACTGGAGGTTGGCAAATGTGACACCCATCTACAAGAAGGGCTGGAAGGAGGATCCGGGGAACTACAGGCCTGCCAGCCTGGCCTCGGTGCCGGGGAAGGTCATGGAGCAGCTCATCCCGAGTGCCATCACACGGCACGTACAGGACAACCAGGGGATCGGGCCCAGTCAGCATGGGTTTACGAAAGGCAGGTCCTGCTTGACCAACCTGATCTCCTCCTACGACAAGGTGACCCGCTTGGTGGATGAGGGGAAGGCTGTGCATGTTGTCTGCCTGGGCTTTAGTAAGGCCTTTGACGCCGTTGCCCACAGCATTCTCCCGGAGAAGCTGGCTGCTCATGGCTCTGCAGAGGGCCCTGGCCAGGCTGGGTCGTTGGGCCAGGGCCAACTGGGTGAGGTTCAACAAGGCTCAGGGCCGGGTCCTGCACTGGGGGCACAACAACCCCAGGCACCGCCATCCTGGCTTGTATCAGGAATAGCGTGGCCAGCAGGAGCAGGGAGGTGATGGTGCCCCTGTGCTGGGCACTGGGGAGGCCGCCCCTCGAATGCTGTGCTCAGCGCTGGGCCCCTCACCCCAAGAAGGCCACGGAGGGGCTGGAGCGTGGCCAGAGCAGGGCAGCGAGGCTGGGGAAGGTGTGAGAGGACATTCTTACTGGTTTGTTTGGAAGACTTGCTCGCCTTTTGCTGCACACAGGCTGGGAAAACGCACACAAGGATCTTCCAACCCCAGCGAGGCAAAAGCCAGACCGTCAGAAGAGGAGGCAGGTGCTTCTGGACCTACCAAAGCGTCCAGAAGTTAGGTATTTATCCCCATTGAGGAGAAAGTGGTTTCCCTGGAGAGCAAAACCACTTGCAATGTGAGCACACGGGGGGCTTGATTGCAACGCAGGCCATGCCCAGGACGGTGGGAGCTGAGCGGGGGCTGTCCCAGCACGGTCTGCGCCGCGCACACATCCGATCTCGGCACCCCCACGTGCTGCCCGTCCGCAGCAGGGAGGGAAAACCCCAGCGAGATTTGTCAGGGTATTTTCTTTGGGAGAACTGAACGCAGGAGGGGCGACGGCTTCTCTACAAGCAACAAACCCTTCGGTTTAAGGTTTCACCGAGGCTTTCTGCATCCAACCTGACCACGCAGAGGCAAAGCAACAAAAAAAAGAGGTCCTAAAGAGAGCGGCTAACACTGCAAACTTTACACCTGCAGTCTCATTAAGCTAATTTTTAAATTTTGCAGCTAGGAACAGCAAACCCAGCACGCTGCTGAGCAGGATTCCTCCTCTTTACAGCAAGAGAAGGAAGGAATTAAGCAGTGCGGGGAAGCTGGATGCTCAGCCACGCTGGTTGCTCCAGAGGGACCAGTTTAACCCATTGCCTCCAGTCCAGGCTGAACTGCAGCCAGTACTGGCAGGAGCCCTGTGATGTGTGGAGGCAGAAAAAGAGTCAGGTGGGGGAAATGTGAGCTACACCGAGGCGCAGGCATTGCTAGCGCAGGCACCTGGCTGTGAGCCGCCTACCCCAGCCATCACCCTGTTCAAAGCAGCTCCACGCAGACCCTATTTCCACAAACACCCCCATCCGACACCCTGATATATTTTCTCCCCCCATCATGGCAAAGACAAACATCACTTAAAGCCACTTTTCCATCCTGGTGGATGTGGTTAACAGCATGAAACCAGAAAGGTCGCGACAAGAAGGGCAGCCTGCGATGGCAGCCACATCCACCAAGGTAATGACAGAGTTGTTGCAGTCAAAAAGCCCGAGTGACCTCATCCCAGAGGAAGAAGACACCTCAAAAACGGGGATGTGCTCCTGCATTTCCCACTCTGCACTCACCACTGCCCGTGCCTGCTCTCACGCAAGGTGTTATTGCTCTTCTGGCTGGATTGTCGTCCTTAACAAAGGCAGAGGTGTAGCGGTGCGAGCGCTGAGGTGAGTAAAGGGGGAAAAAACAATTAGGAAGAAATTAGAAAGAAATCAGGGGCGAGAGAGAGCAGAGCCTCTCCCCATGGCCGAAGCCTCAAAACCAGCGTTTCCCCAGCTCAGGAAGAACAAGCCAAAAAAGATGAGGTGGGACAGCCCCACCAGCACTCCTCTCCCCTCCCCGCTGCCACCTCAGCCCCTAACTGGGATGCTCGAGGATGGACGGACTGGGAGCACTGGGAAGGGGCCCTCCCGCACAGCGGGGGACACGGCGAGGTTTGCTCACCCACCATCCTGGGCGGGTTCGTCCCCAACGCCCACGGCTGCTTTCAGCTGCTCCTGGGGCTCCTGCCGCAGCACCCTCTTTAGGG